TTCAGTCAGTACTTGGTCTAAGAAGGAAATAAGACTCAGAAAGGTTCACTGAGAGTTATAGAGACATGGTGATGTGCCCTGCTATCTGCAAGATAAGTACCATTCCTGTGGCTGTGGGCAGCAAAATGACCTGCTGGCTATGCCAGAGACTTGGATAGTCAAGGTGGTTGCTGCTGGGGCTCTGAGAAGGCTTGGAGTGTGTGACTTGGAAGTTACTATTGACGATCCACACCATGTATTGCTCCATCATCCCTCACAGTCTATACGGCAATAAGAGAAGCAAGCCAATTTGCTGTCCCAGCTCTAGATATTCAACTTGGACCTTCTGTTCTTCCAGAAATTCATTCAAGAATTTCATCTGTTGTCTGGTCTTCTTGGAAGATCTGCAACAGAAATTTATATTAATGACTTAGCTATTTTCTTTCCAAACTTTTATTTCATTTATAATTCTTAAGCATTATTTGAAACAGAAACTGCAGCTAGGCCTATGCATTGAAAGCCTTGAGCTATTGACTCTTGAACTAGTCAGAAAGTTCTATGTGAGAAGCCACTTCAATATGTATTCTATTTTCTGCTTCAAATTAAAGCAGATTCGAACTATGGTCTACCCCTGTTTACTAATTTCTGTGTTTGGGGGTTTTTTGTTTGTTTGAGGTTTTTTGGGGGGGCTTTTTGTTAGTTTGTTTTTTCCCATGGAAAATAAACCTGACCTATTTTACGCCTCCTCACTTATTTACTGTTGCAGAATCTGAAAAGAATTAAACCCAAAGATAAGTGCTTAAGATGATGTAGCTAAAAGTTAGATAAACAGAGAACTTGCCTAGACAACCTAGAAAACCCTGATTTTGCAAAATGTTAAACTCTTTTTGTTGGAGTGCACTGTCCCAAATGAAATTCTGATTCTGAGCCTTAGTCTTAATATTTTCCCCTTTTAATCTTCAGATATTAACTGAAAAACTTTGATAGAATCTATGAAGTCATGCAAAATCAACAGACTCTATGGATAGAATTTACTTAAGAATTATGATGGCTATGCTCCTAAATCTCTGTTAGATCTACAGTAGAAACAGTAGTTAAAAATAGACAAAAAATTTGATCTCAGTAGTGCTTCTGTTAGTAGAAGACTGAATAAAAACACTGTAGTCCTTTTATTCTTTGTTTTTGAGGAAAAGTTGTATAGAATGTTGGATACGAGATAGCACATACCAGGCTGACCTGATATTGGAGATGCAGGGAGACTGCTGTGTCCATACAGGTAAAGGTGGAGTCTGGGACAGCTCAATTTTGAAGGTGCTGTCTCTCAGAATTGGTTCACGCTGATGCAAGTTTGAAAGACTGCAATTATAGAAAGCCTTTACTTAAAGTGATAGGAGTTTAGAAGAACATGTTGATTTAAACAGGTTAAGAATAATTTTTTCTGACATGCTGTGCATTATGAAGAGCTTGAAATTTGGAAGGCTTAGAGCTCTGCCCTGATTGTGTGGTTTGGGAAAAAAAAGGAAAAAAAAAACCCTTTTTTTTTCCTTAATTTTCAAATAAACAAATAAATTTCCTCTTTCTTTTCTCTCCAGAAGACATGGACAAATTAATCAACATGAAGAAATAATTTTGTCTCAGCATTGCAGTTCAGACTCTTTACTGATATTAGACTTGGCATGCATTAGAAAACTAAATTTAGAAATCATTGTTAACAGCAAGATATCCCAAGACATTTATTATATTGATCCCAGCATCAGTGACATCTATTACTGCCCTGTCACACTTTTAATGCCATTTTTCAAAGTATCTTTCCTGCATGAAAATGGAGCTGTCTTCTTAGGACATTACGGTCGCATATCAAATTGCCTGTGCTTATGAACTGTCAGAAAACATTGGTATTCTTTAAATGTATTTTAGTGTGTTATTATTAAAAAGGTGTATCAAAATGTTTTTATACTCCACATCAAGGAAATTTGTAGACAGATCAGTGTTTAAACTCTTTCTGGGTATGACTGAATGCTGGTTTAATGGCTTCCGCAGCTCTGTAGGAGCTGTACAGTGAAGTACAGCTAGTCAACTGATCATTTAATATACTCCCTCTTCTAATCTTAACTGCTCAGAACATATGAATCTGCTCATATGAGTACTCTCAAGACAAATCCAGATAAGTTTGGGGAGGGGAAATTTTTTACATGGCTTGGCTGCTATGAAACTCTGAAACAAGATTCTGCCCCTGGGTTCTTTCCCTTTCTTACATTTTATTCATTAAGAATACATTAATTTATTTTTTATCAGCCTTATGAGAATTTCTGTATGACATTCATGGTTTGTTCTAAAATAGTAGCTCACCTTGTCTGTCAGACTGTTTCATAAATCTTTCAATTAGAATTGATATTCTTAATAGAACCTTGCAAATTGCTGAACAAGCTCTGAAAAATAAGAATTAGACTTTTAGAGATTGAATACTTAAAAGCCTAAAACCCAGACTTAATAACAATTTATCTACTTCCACTGTGGGAGCAGAGAACCTGCCGTTTTCATTCTAGCGCTACAGTGCAAAAATCAGGCTTAAATCAGTCTTTTTACTTTTAATTGAAATCTGTGTGTATTTAATATGAATTTGCAAAGTTAAACAACAGTCACAGAATAATCTAGGTTGGAATGGACGTCTGGAGACCTCTAGTCCAACTCAATGGTCACAAAAGAGTCAAACAAATCAGGCTGCTTAGGGTTTTGAATATCTCCAAGGTTGGAGATAACAAAACTCCTCTGGAAAAACTGTTCTTGTGTTTGACCACCCTTGTAGTGAACCATTGTTTTTTTTCTTTTATGTAGTTGGAATTTAGCTTCTTGCAACCTCTGAATCCTTTGTTTGTGCTTTTGCTGCATACTTCCAAGTAGATTTGCTGTCTTCCCTATTCCTTTTGTGCAAAGCTGCTTTCCAGCAAATTGTTTCATGGCATTGGTTTGTCCAAGATGCAGGATTTTGCATTTCCTTTTTTGAACTTCATGGTCTCTTTCAGGTCTTTTTTCCACCCTACTGAGATCTCCCTAAATAGCATTGCCACACTACAGCATATCAGCTAATTCTCCAATGTCTGTAAACTTGCTAAGAGTTTACTCAGTCCAGTCATGCCCATCTTTAATGTAGCTGTTGAACAATATTGAAGTCAACATCCACCCATGAAGAATATTGCTGATAATCAGCTGCAGCCTGGGTTTTGGATCATAGGCTCTGTTTGAGCCTGGCAGACCAGCTTGTTTTCCATCCATTTTATACTCCATCTATCCAATCCATATTTCACCAATTTGGCTACAGAGCTAAAAGAGCAAGAAGTAGGTTGAACAAACATGCAAGTATGCAGGAAGGCTACTATGTATGGCAAATAAGAAAAAGGTTATTAGTTTGGCATATGTATCTCATATTATGAAGTTAATTAGCCTAATTATTACTAAGTGATTAAAAAAACCCAAACAGCTTGTATCAGGAATTCCAAATAGATCTGGGTGGCTCTTTACCTTCTTTTTCAGCCGTTATACGATTCTTTTGCAGAATGATACAATCTAGTAAAAACAATATGATGTACAGCCCGCAGCAAATTTTATAGCAACAACCATCTCTTGAGCACTTCAAGACTGTTTACAAGTATTAGTTCCCACTCTTCTAGAATTGATTTTGGCATGTTTTAAGTAAGGCACAGGGGTGTTACTCTTGCTTACGGCAAGATTCAAGGATTACGGCAAGATTCAAGATTAAGTATTTAAGCGGGCAGAACACGGTTTCTCTCCAATATGGAGTGCTCTAACCAGCCAATACTAATCAAAAGATACAGTGTGTTCTGTATTCTCAGCAGGGAGGAATGCAGGTTACTATATGACTGGTTTTACTACTTGCTTCAGTCTAAGTTTACCTTAAGGATTTCATTTTCACTTCTGACCTGCATTAACGTCATGAACCTGTTCATATCTGATGAAGTTTCACTCCTGCGTGATCTAGCTCCAGCATCTTATTCTCTTGCATGCAGCATTTGCAAGATATGCTAGCATAGTGCACTGAAATTTAATAATTCCATCTCTTAGTAATACTTTTTCTAAATTAAAAACCATCAGCTTATTTAAAGATATAAACAGAAGTCCTGATCATTGTGTCTAAAGCAGAAATTTTAAAAACTTGCATGATTATATAGAAAACCCCCATCATTCATTTATTATGAAGTAGTTAATATTTTCAACAAATATTTATTTAATCTTTGAGGAATAAGGAGGAAAAATTTCCTTAACTTCTGGTCATCATTGATTTTTGTGGGGTTTTTTTTTGTGTTTTTTATTTTTTTACTCAGGACTTCTTATGTGGAAAGTCAACCCCGTAAAAAGCTCCATAGCTTTATAGAGTGAATGCTTGCTTTTCACATAAGTTTACATATTTTGGTGCATATATATTCTCTCAGACTAAATCCATGTGTATTTTTTGTGTAGGTGATTTCTTTAATATTATTAAAAAAGCTTAGCGTGGTATATATGTCAAGTGCAAGGGTACAGATATGAGTGATCAGTGAAATTCACTTTCAAATTCACTGCTAAAAGTCACACCATACTTACGTCTAAGAACTGTAGAATTGTGGAGAACTGAAGATGTGTACAAGCATAGCTTATTGGACAAACTGAGGTTCTTAATCTGTTCTTTCCACTATTCATATTAAAAATTCCTCTAAGTTACAAGTGCTTAGTGTCCAGGGTACTAGGAACTCTCCTACTTTCTTTTTTACACATTGCAATACTCCACAGATTTTATTTTTTTGTAAAGATTAAACAAAAAATTAGACACTTTCAATAATTAAAGCAGGTGGCAAAAATTAGTAGCATAAAACCAGCAGATTTTTGAATGATTTCTAAAAATTTTAGAAGTGAGTAGGAAAATTCTGGATTTGCAGAACTTCGGATTAGAAAAATTTAATGGGGCAAAAATGGATTGATAATATGGCTTTTAAAAAAAAATCATTTATTTTTCCCTTCTCTGCTAGGTTCTGTAGCTACTGCCTGCCGTGATCCTGGTGTCCCCATGAATGGAACTAGAAATGGCGACGGGAGAGAACCTGGAGACACTGTAATTTTTCAGTGTGACCCTGGCTATGAACTGCAAGGAGATGAAAGAATAACCTGCATTCAGGTAGAAAATCGATACTTCTGGCAGCCCAACCCACCAGTCTGTATAGGTATGCAGAAAAAAATCAAATAATGCTTTCCTAAAATTTGAAATTCTGGTGTAATGAAACATGCTGGTCTACAAACTTTCTTTGAAGAACAAATGCATACAAGTACTGCACATCTGATAAACTATTGTGTATAAAAATTCGATGGATATTAGCAAAACATTTCCTTTGTAGTTGTGAGTATAATAGTTATCATTCTTTCCCTCTCAGGGCCATATCATTTATAATTTGAAGATCTATGACAGAGAAAGTAAGAAAATTAATGAAAGTGACACAAAATGACACTATTAGCTTTGCCTGAAAAGTTGACAAATGGTGATAAGTGTGGAGGATTTGGTTAAAGTTCATACGAACTAGCAAAGCCGCAAGAGTAAAGAGTGAGAAGCTAGTAACTTAATTTCCATGGCATTCTTCACTATTTTAGAAAGAACAGAATTTTCATTAGTAAAAATAATTATTTCTGGAAATATTGTCTCAGTCTCTAATGCTATTCTGATTAACATATCTCATATTAAATGGATTTTGAAAGCATTTAACTTGTTTAGCTGAATCCAGATGAAAACAAGAAATTACAAAAGTCTTTAGTAGATAGTAGCCTTCTGGTAATCTCTGAGGCAATCCTAGTAATTATTATTATTGATCTAGAAAATATCTACAATATCACTTCTAAAAACTTATGTAGAGGTAGAGTGATAAATCGTCATGAGGTTACCCATCTGGGCTAGTGCATTAAATAATGTAATGATTCTTATTTGAGCAGTATATTCTTTAATGGAGTCAAATGTGATATCATGATGTAGAATAACAGAAGATTTTGTCTCAAAGGACAGCAGCTGCTGACCAGAAATTCCAGAAGGGTTGTGATAGGTAAGCTGTTGAACAGGATCTGCAAGTTTAGTGGTGCAGAAAAGAAGAAAAATGGGTCACTCCAAGGACGTGCTAGCAGAAGAATATTGGATAGGCCAGTTGCAGTGGTATTACCCTGAGTCACGTCATTACGAGATACTGTGCTTATTGTCCTGTCCAAAGCAGAGCTATCTGAAATGAGCGTCTGAAAATAGGGGAGTAAAATAAGGGCACCTAGAATTATCAGACAACAGCTCTTCGACCCAGAGTGAAGTAGAGTGGGCACTGCAACTGTGAGAACATCAGCTCCACACGGGCATCCTTCGTGCTTTGCGATCCCTGGTAGTCTGGTCTTGGGCAAACATTGCAAGGAGGAACTAGCCAGACACTGCAGCTATTAGGAAAGATGGTATAGCTTTCAGACACTCACTTGCCTTTAATAAACTTAACTTGACCTTAGCTGTTACAAAATAAAATCTGCATCCTATTTGCATATACACACATGCACACATATCCCTCCCCCCCATCATGCATGTCTGTGGCTATTCTACTTGCCACATCAGAATGGTATTTGTCTGTTTCTAATGTCCTTACTATGCCTTCCTGCATAATGTCTACACTATTTGCTGAAAGACTGCAGAAAAGAAATATTTTGTTACTCGTCTCTTATTATTCTTTTATGCCTAAATATGTATTTGATCATAATAACAAATGAACATCTGTAAGTGTTGAAGGGAAAAAATGAAAGGAATGATGGTACTCGAGGAACAGGCCTTATAATGAATATATTGTATCATAGTGGCCTTATTTGGTATTGCTGGTTTAAAAATGTTTTTCAACTGAAAAACAATTACCCTATTATAAAGTAATGCCAACAGTTTTAATCATTATCAATACTGAGTTGATATTATTAAATAGATTATATGTAGGTGCTTACCTGTGATTCTGTCCTTAGTACATGTGTAAATATGCATGCACTTGTTTTCTTAACTGCATGCATCCATTTACCTACTACTTGTAATTTCACACTTTATGAACAAACACCTACTGTACATAGAGTATCAAGAATGCTTATTATGGTGACATTGGCCAAATATCAGACATGAAGTTATTTTATATTGATTTCCTATAATAATACATTTTTTGGGAATATAAGCTGCTAATAAACTAGCGTAGGGTGTGCAAACCTTGGCTTGGAGCCCAGAGGTTTTAAAAATGTCTGTTGTAGTTCAGTACATTCAGAAGTTCATCAATTTTTTCCCAAACTTGTAATATATTCACTTTTATTGTTTCCTTGCCTGTAAATCAAAACTGTACAAGGCTTATTCTGCACATAACTTCAACATCATCATGGTTTATCGAAGTCTTAGAAAAAGTAAACATCATTTTGATGGAAGAATAAGAGGTAGGGATAATTCCTGACATGTATCATTGTAGCACGATCTAGATTTCATTTATTAGTTCTTTACATTCCAAACTGTCTCCTTGAACCTCCTAATTGTTAATGCTCAAAACTAGGTAAATGTAATTGTTAGTTGTTCTTACCTCTGGGACTACCTCGGTTGTTTAGATACCTTCAGTCTTGCCTGCAACACAATTTTAAGAACATCTTTATTTCAAAGGTAATAGCAATAGGAAAATTACAAAGAGCTAAATATTGATTCAGCTATTTGAATGAATGATGAAAATTAGAGACTCTTCTATACTGGAGATATTCTGACAAACTACAGATTTGAAAATATATCTCTGCCAAAAGACAGTCATTTAGCTTATGCCTGTGGTGCCCCAAATAGCTAGAGGTTTTCCATTCCAAGGACTTTCTGGATTGAATCTTGTTTAGATACCAGAATCCTAAATGTTTGTATTCGCTTAGTTTGCTCAGGGATAACATTAAAAATATCAACACGCAAAATGTTGTTTTAGTATTCAGGTTTACTATACATTTAGGTGAAATAAGGACTGTCTCCCAGAAGCTTCAGACTTTCTTAGGAAATTCATATGTTACTTTTTTTTTTTTAATTGTAGCTTGGTTTTATTTGTTTCTATTATTTTGTTTTAAGTAATGTCTGGTTACCATTTTTATAACTACACAATTTTTTTTTTTTTTTGTAAACAGTGAATTCCAGTAGTGTTTTTGTCAAAATGGGATCTATATGACACTAATGCAAAGGAAGATTTCAGCTGTTATTTTGCATTTAATTGCAATTTTTTAAATATATCTTCAGATTAGATATAAGGAAGAAATTTTTTACGATGAGGGTATTGAAGCACTGGAACAGTTTTCCCAGACAGGTTGTAGATGTCCCATCCCTGGAAACATTCGAGGTCAGGTTGGACAGGGCTCTGGACAACTGGATGTAGTTGAAGATGTCTCTACTCATTGCAGAGGGGTTGGATTAGATGACCTGTAAAGGTCCCTTCCAACCCAAACCATTCTATGATTCTATAGTTCTATATTTCTATAATATCTCCTATTTTTTAAAAAAAACAGCTAATTAAACATACATCCTGTTTTTTTTGTTAAGATGTAATTCAGTGAACAAATAAATAAATAAAAGCCAGAAATTTCTGGAATAGTACTTTGTTGCTTTCCAGAAAAATTAAATAGGTTTTAGATAAAAAAGTATCCAATCTGTACTTCATCCCATAAAAATGCTAAGATCATCATACAGAGAAACTGGCACTGTGCTTGCTTACCACTGTGTCTACACAGAGGTTTATAAAGACAGGTTGACATAACGTACATCTAGTTTTCACTGTATGATAAATTAAAAATACATTTTTTTCATAGTGTACTGACATTTGCCTTTTTTTCTAGATGGATTATTATATTTGTTCAGTCTTAGGTCTTGCGTCTAATACTGTAAAAGATAGGTGTCCTTTAAACTGTTTTCAGAGCTGGTCTGCCCTCAGTTAAAAACAAAGTTATGACACTTAATAATAAAATTGTGTACATTAAATTCAGAAAATTATGTATTCTTAAACACAAAAGAATTTATTTCAAGCACACAGAGAAATAAAGTTTTTAAACAACTTTAGAGAAGATAGTAAACTACAAAAATATAACTTCATCTAATAACATTTTGTATCTGAAGAAAATTCTACCTGGAGATATTTTACAAAGTTTAAGATTAATGGGGTTTTTTACTGCTGTTAACAATATAGGTTGAAATAAAATATATTTTGACTGTCTAACGTTGTGTACTTTCCATGTATTCCCTGGAAAGTCTTTTTGATTATTATCTAGAACTTAGTAAGGATTGAATGAAAGAACCAGTCTCACTGTAATAGAAAAAGTAACTGCCAATGTGTGTAAATGAAACAGAAAGTAGATAAGAAAGAAGCTACTAATATGCAAATATTCTATCAATGAACTTAACAGAGAACTAAACTAGATTAACACCACATCAGGAAAGTATCATGAACACAGACATTGGCACAAAGTAGTGTGGAATGGGGAGATAATAGTTTGAGTTAATATCTTTGTATCATCATATGCAAGTTCAGGGTGCCTCAGAAAAGATCATCAGACACACACAGTTAGGGGTCATTTCAGTAAAGCTAGGTTGCACTGAATAACCTTAATGTCCTTTTTGGTACTTGTTACTTTTTCATTCTTGAGATACACAGGTAGTGCAGCCTGAACCACTGAAGTATTTCAAGAGCGTGAATGTGCAGGGTTATATTGAAGAACACTAGTTCCAGGTGATGAGCAGCTTTTATGTTCAATACAACTTCACAGCTCAAGACATTTTTGCATGAATGTTTAGTACAGCAGGATAGAAGGTTACAGTGACCTCATTTACAGTTACAGGAAGAACACTTTTTTGTAATAATTTCATCTTATTTTGTTTCTGAATTGTAACAAAAGAACACCAAACAAAAGATGGTTCTGATTAGAAACAATACCAATTTAAAACCATGAAGACAGAGAAATTGCCATTATTATCCTTATTATAAAACTAAGTAAATGTTTTATACTAGAAGAAACTTCCACAGCCTGTTCACTTGTAGCTAATGGAACTTTCTCTAGCAACTGGAAACCTCTGAGAAAATGCTGTATTATATAATTTTTCTTTGACAATTGGTAAAAAAAGTAAAAAAAAAAATTGCTAGGTCTGGAAAAATTATTATATGCATTTGCTAGTGCTATTGATTTATAATATTTATGGGTTCCTAGAACAAGATGGTGTTTCAGCTTCTAAGAGCTTTTAATTAAAATGGTGATTTTGGAATTCATTACCACATATAGTACCAAAATATAATGGAACATTCTAATTTTAGTTTGTTTTTCAGGTAATTTAGCTATCCATTCTTCCTTTTTAATATAAGAAAAAAATGTAAAATGTGAAAAGACTATATTCATGCGCATTGTAACTGCGGATACATTAATCTACACAAGTTTTCTAATGGCACTACTTCAGTTGTTAAATAATGTGTGATTTAATTCTTGTGACATTAGAAAATACTGTGTGTATTTCACACTTGGTTGATTTATATCTGTACATAACATCCTGAGCTGTACAGAACATCTTAAATGTCATCACACAGCATGTACAGGGCAACCAGATGATCGAGCCTGATCAGCATGAGTTTATGAAAGTCAAGTCCTGCTTGACTAACCTGATCTCCTTCTGTGACAAGGTGACCTGCTTAGCAGATGAGTAAAAGGCTGTTGATGTTGTTTACCTGGCTTTAGTAAATCCTTTGACACTGTTTTCCACAGCAGTCCCCTAGAGAAAATGGCTGCTCATGGCTTGGATAGGTGTACTCATCACTGGGTAAAACACTGGCTGAGTGGCCGAGCCCAAAGAGTTGTCGTGAATGCAGTTAAATCCAGCTAGTGGTAGGTCATAATTAGTGTTTCCCAGGACTCAGTATAGGGGCCAGTTCTGTTCAATGTCATTATCCATGATCTGGATGAGGGGATTGAGTGCTCCCTCAGTAAGTTTGCAGATGACACCAAGTTGGGCAGGAATGTTGATTTGCTTGGGGATAGAAAGGCTCTGCAGAGGGACCTGGACAGACTGGATCAATGGACTGAGGCCAGTTTTATGAGATTCAACAAAGCCACGTGCTGGGTCCTGCACTTGGGTCACAACAACCCCATGCAATGCTACGGGCTTGGGGAGGAGTGGCTGGAAAGCTGCCCGGTGGAAAAGGACCTGAGGGTACTGGTCAACAGCCAGCTGAATATGAGCCAGCAGTGTGTCCAGGTGGCCAACAACATCCTGGCTTGTATCAGAAATAGTGTGACCAGCAGGAGTAGGGAGGTGATCGTGCCCCTGTACTTGGCACTGGTGAGGCCACACCTTGAGTACTGCATTCAGTTTTGGGCCCCTGACTACGATAAGGACATTGAGGTGCTGAAGCACATCCAAAGAAGGGTAACAAAGCCGGTGAAGGGTCTAGAGAACAAATCCTGGGAGAAGCAGCTGAGGGAACTGGGGTTTTTTATTCTGGAGAAGAGGAGGCTGAGGGGGGAACCTTATTGCCCTTTACAACTACCTGAAAGGAGGTTGTAGTGAGGCAGGTGTTGGTCCCTTGTCCAAAGTAACAAGCGAGAGGATGAGAGGAAATGGCTTCCAGTTGTGCCAGGGGAGGTTTAGATTACATATTGGAAAAATTTCTTCACCAAAACAGTTTTCAAGCAGTGGAACAGGTTGCCCAGGTGTCACGAATGAGTGGTTCGGTCACTTAAATGATCACTCAAAAGTTTTGCAAGAAAGATTTTAATGAAAAATTAGAAAATGTGATCTTACAAATTTTGTTGACAAGATTCACTCTATTACTTATTAAATAAATGGAATACAAAATCAAAAAAGGGTTTTGTGTAGAAAATAATTTGTAAAGAGTGTAAGAAAGTGTAAGGGGATAGGGAGACCTTCCCGTTAAATCACCAGGTTCAGAATGGACCCACTTGCTTTCTAAACTCCTTCTCAGAGAGAAGCCTGGGTGTGGCTGGATCCAGAACAGGCCATAGACCACAATGGTTTATGTCTAAAGAATATGTTTATGTGTTCACAGTTAAAGAGAGAGAGAGAGTCACAGGAAGTCAGCAGTTCTTAATCACTGGTTAACTAAACATTTACTAAGTGATTAAGGAAAATTTACTATTACAATTACAGTAATAGAATATTACGTTGAATCAATTCACACAAAAATGCCCCTTGAGTTCAGTGAAATACTCACTTCAAATTGAATTATTTCTCAATGGGTGAAGGTTGAGTCTCAAGGAGATCAGCACAGGTGATGCCAACAGAGTTCGAGTGGGTGGGTGGGTGTCAGGAGGATGGGGCCAAACTCTTTTCAGTAGTGCCCAGCGACAGGACAAGGGGCAATGGGCACAAACTGAAGCATAGGAAGTTCCGTCTGAATATGAGGAAGAACTTCTTCCCTCTGAGGTTGACGGAGCACTGGAACAG